AACCATGTCGAATCCAAGAGCTGGTTTCTTGACTCAGGCTGCTCGAACCACATGACTGGTCTAAAGGAGGGGTTGGCAGATTTTTGACGAGTCGAAGAAGAGCAAGGTAAAACTTGTTGATAATAGTTCATTGCAAGCAGAAGGTACTTGCAACATAGTCTTTCAAATGAGTAATGGAGGGAAAGCTATGATCAAAGATGTGCTCTATGTACCTGGAATGAAATGCAACTTGCTAAGTGTTGGACAACTAGTTGAAAAAGGTTTCTCATTTGTCATGAAAGATGGAGTTTTGAAATTGTTCGACACAAAGAATAATTTGGTCTTAAAATATCCATTGTTGAAGAATAGGACATTTAAGACTATGATCAGTTCGACAGAAGTTCAATGTTTGAAAATTATTGTCGACCACAAGGATAGTTGGTTGTGGCACTTGAGGTTTGGACATTTGAATTTTCAATCACTTAATCAACTGATTAATCAAGATATGGTTACTGGTATTCCAAGACTTGAGATGCCTGAAAAACTTTGTAAAGGTTGTTTAGTGGGAAAGCAATCCATAAATTCTTCTGTTTCAACTATGTCAATGAGATCATCATGCATTCTCGAAGTGGTGCATTCAGAAGTATGTGGTCCATTCGAAGAACATACAATTGGTGGAAACAAATATTTTGTTTCATTTGTCGATGAGTTTAGTCGAAAGATGTGGATCTATGTGATCAAACGAAAGGACAAAGTATTCAAAATATTTAAGAGATTCAAGATACTTGTTGAAAACCAGAGTGAGAAGAAGATCAAAGTTCTGCGAACAGATAGAGGTGGCGAATACACATCCAAGATGTTTGAAAATTTATGTGCAGAATATGGTGTTGATCATGAGGTAACCACTCCTTACACACCTCAACATAATGAAATTGCTGAAAGAAGAAATAAAACCATATTAGATATGGAGAGATGCATGCTGAAGCAAAAGAGTTTTCCAAAATCTTTATGGGGAGACATTGTTTCGACTGTAGTTTATATTTTGAATAGGTGTCCTACTAAGATATTGAAGAACAAGGTTCCTGAAGAAGTGTGGAGTGGAAAACGACCATCAGTGAGTCATTTGAAGGTGTTTAGCTCTATGTGTTACAAGCATGTTCTTGATGCAAGGAGAAGAAAGCTTGATGATAAGAGTGAACCTATGATTCTGGTAGGATATCATAAAACTGGTGCATACAGACTATTCAATCCAGTTAATGAGAAGATTGTGTTGAGTCGAGATATTGTGATTAATGGAAATTCTGCCTGGGATTGGAATTCTAGCAATTCAATTAACAAATCATTAATTAACTTTGATTTCGACGAAGAAACTAATGAAGTAGAGGTCGAAGGAATTTATTGAGAATCCAATCGAAGTCGAAGAAGAAGCGGTTGCTGACACTCTTATCACAGTTGAAGTCGAAGAGGTTGTGGCTGAAACAAGCCAAAGACCTCAAAGAAATAGAGTTCTTCCAACAAGACTTCATGATTATGAAGTGGTGGGTGATGATGAAATCACACCAGATGGAGAATTAGTTCATTTTGCTTTACTTGCAGGTGCTGAACCAATCAACTATAGCAAAGCTTTGAAGATTAACAAGTGGAAGTTAGCTATGGTTGAATATTTACAGGCAATCGAAAGAAACATCACATGGGAGTTAGTCGAATTTCCAACACATACAAAAGCTATCGAAGTAAAGTGGGTATTCAAGTTAAAACAAAATGAAGACGGGTCAGTAGCAAGATATAAAGAAAGATTAGTAGATCGAGGTTTTCTTCAAAGAGCAGGACTTGACCACTCTTAAGTATTTGCTCCAGTAGCAAGATTAGAGACTGTTCGACTAGTAGTAGCATTGACATGCAACCAAGACTGGTCAACATTTCATCTAGATGTGAAATCAGCATTTCTTAATGGTCCTTTAGAAGAAGAAGTTTATGTCACACAACCTCCTGGGTTTGTGATTCAGAAGGAAGCGAGTAAAGTATATAGATTGCACAAAGCGCTCTATGGCCTCAAGCAGGCACCTAGGGTATGGAACAAGAAGATCGACTCATACTTAGTCGAATTAGGATTTTTCAAATACAAATCAGAGTATGGTGTCTATGTCCAGGTTGTAGCGCAATATACAACAACCATTTGCTTGTATGTTGATGACTTGCTAGTAACTGGAAATATTTTGGAGAACTTGTCGAAGTTCAAAGAGCTGACGACGAAGGAATTTGAAATGTCGGATCTAGGAAAATTGTCTTATTTTCTAGGCATGCAATTTCAAATGTCGAAGCAAGATATGGTGCTACATCAAAGAAAGTATGTAAAAAAGATACTCAAGAGATTCATAATGGATGATTCGAATCTTGCATCTCCATCTGTCGAATCAAATGTGAAGTTGGAGAAGAATGGAGAGGAAGACAAAGTCGATGCATCTTTGTTCAAGCAAATTGTGAGATTTCTGAGGTATGTGTGCAACAGTCGACCTGATATAGGTTTCGCAGTCGGATTAGTAAGAAGATATATGAGTGAACCAAGAGTATCACATATGAAGGCTGCAAGAAGAATTCTTCGATATTTAAAGGGTTAAATATATTGTGGAATACTATTTCGAAGAGATTCTGAAGGCAAAGAAGAAATAGTTAATTGTTTTTTAGATGTTGATTGATGTGGAGATAAGGAAGATCGAAGAAGCACAACTGGATATTTCTTTCAAGTATTTGGTACCCCAATCTCATGGTGTTCGAAGAAGCAATATGTGGTGGCATTGTCATCGTGTAAAGATGAATATATAGCAGGATCCTATGTTGCATGTCAAGCAATTTGGATCATATTTGTACTTGAAGAAATGACTGTCGAAGTGAAGAAACCTCTAGTATTGCAAATCGACAATAAGTCAGCCATAAATCTGGTGAAGAATCCAGTTCTGCATGGAAGAAGTAAACATACTGAAGCAAGGTTTCACTTCTTGAGAGAAAAAGTAAATCAAGGTGAACTTGAAGTTAGGCATTGCTCAAGTGAAGCACAGTTGGCCGACATTTTCACCAAAGGATTGAAGATCGACAAATTCATGAATTTGAGAAAGAAAGTAGGAATAGTTCAGATTGACTATTTTTGAGGATGTTCGACAACTTGGATTATGGAGGTGTGTTGAAATATTAAATTAGATTAGGTTAGATTTGATTAGATTTGATTAGATTTAATATTTAATATAATCCAAGTTGTGTTAGCCCAAGTCCAATCAGGGTTGTATATAAATAGTCATAGTGTGTATCATTATTTGTACACTTGAATAATACAAAATCCTTATTTCCTTTATTATTCTCTCTTTCTCTCCTCACTAAAAGTGTCTCACGCGCTAACAAGAATGACATCCATTTATCAACATTACTTTGAAGAATTTGGGATTGAATCAAATCCTATAGACTAAAAGAGGAAATCATGATTTACACGATGCTTACAATTCAAAAAATATTGGACATTTTAAGTTGTTTTTCATAATAACTTAATTTTTTTTATTATTGTCTCAAAAATCTATTTGAATGGTTATATATGATTATTGAGGGGCATAGAAAAACAAACAATTCTATATTTTATAATAAACTCTTATATATACCACAATGGTTGGAACATATAACCGTGGTGAAATGCTATTTTTATGCGCTTTAATTTTGATTGTAGCTGGGTATCGAACTTCAGCCACTATAATTATTAGAACGGTTGTTTACGTCAACCGCTGTGATAGACATTTTACCATAACGATCACTAGACTGTGATTGTAAGTGTCGCATATGTAACCACACTCTACACAACGCCTGGACCCGCGTGATTATATGTGTTTCTCAGCCGTTGTAAAATGGATTTTCCGTAGTAGTACCATGTGATATTCACGTCACAAATCACCAACGATCCTAAAATTTAATCAGTCATCCTGCACCAACCTGCACCCAATCACTTCCAAATCAAACTTTTCCCCTTCTAATAACGTTGCAACGTGATATACACGTCACAACTTAAATTTTAAAATTTTAAAATTTCCACCACGTGGATGTTACAGACTTTTGAATTTCTTATTTTAATTTTTATGTTGCGACGTGATTCCCATGTCGCAAATATTTTTTTAAAAAATAAATTCTAACTCCTCGTGTTTTAACGTTAGTTTCAATATTTTAATATTAAAAATATGTAATGATGTGATTATCACATCGCAATCACACTTTTTTGTCACATGATAATCACATTACAAAATCACGTCGTAAGACAACATATTTCTTATAGTGAAAGTTAGAAAAATTGTTGTGAAGCTCCATGTCTATAGAGGATAGAGGAACGGGAGAACAATGCTTAGAAGAAGGTATATATATTATATTAAAATAGAGAATAGAGATGCCCATTGTAAAGCAGAATAATCGACATCACTTAAATTTTAATCGATTGTATCTTAGGCTAGATACTTAGATTTTGTAAAATCAAGTTCATGATATTTAGGCTTGATAAATGTATTTATTAGAAAGGTTAGGCCTAGGATTAAGACGGTTTTTTTTATGACCCGGCATGAATTTATTAGGTTATTATGGAAATATCGGAATAATATAATGTTTTTGGATAACTGATGATAAATGACGTGGAAAACTTGTACTTTTAGATTTAGAAATGGTATTTTGGAAGGTCCGTGTGTAATTTTTCAGTTTGGCATGAAAATCCTATTCTATATCTGAGTTAATAGAGACTTGAGTGTTTTTGTTGCTTTATTTTGAAATTGGTACGTTGTGGTTGCTGGTATTGGTTTCGAGATATCTAACTTAGCTTTTGTTGTTTTTCTTCTTTCCGCTGGGTTGGATATATCTTGTGTCTTTCTTGTTTCTTTTATGCATTGTACTTAGGCTTTAAGTTTCTTTTATTTTAATATATATATACTATTTCAACATAAATGAATGTGATGCTTGTTCATAAATAGGTAACTGTTTCAACATGAAAACCGGAATTCTTCCAAATGTCACAACCTATGTATGAAGTAAGTGGTCAGAAGCAAAGTCTTATGTGTACATGCTTCAAGGCTCAAATTGGTAATTGAGACTCTCTTTTTATGTTGTTTTATTCTTCTCTGTCATGATAATATGTACTGAAACTTTTATTGACACAATCTTAGTTTTTACTAAATATAATGAGCTATTAATTGTACTAGTCATATAAACAATGCATTGTCTTTGTAATGAACTAGTATTTTAAGGTTATTTCTAAGATGACCTTGTTGAACCATATTTACCGTGTTGAGTAATTTTGATGCATGATTCAAGTGGTTTCCTCTTTTGTGGCTAGTAAATTGTTAAAACTGCAGTACATCGTCCTTGTTCTTTATTAGAATTGATAGGATCACAGAGTTACATTTTTTAGATAATTTTAATATTTCATTTGGAAGGAGAATTTATCTTAGTTGGACTTTTATCTTAGATATGATTTAATTGGTCCATTATTGTTATCACTGTATATATATTCTTATCGAGAGAGTGAAGATTATGAATGAAAAAAGATGTTATCTTAATTTTATTAAATTATTTTAGTGTTATTTTCCTTTTCTATTACAAACTCTAGTTTTATACTTTTTGATAGTAAAACTTCCTATCAATTGGTGTTTTTATTTTTGATCTTATTCTTCCAAATTAAATGACCATTCTAGTGTTTGATGGAAAAGGAGATTCATACTGGTGGGTGCTATGTGTTGAAAAAAGTTTCAAAGAGCAAGGAACACCAAAAAAGATAAAGCTGCCAGAAGTTGTGACCAAATTGTATGGTCATGCTCGTCAATGGTGGTTTTGGGGGTCTCAACTCCATCCACCGTTATGTTGGGATACGTTCACCACTGTATTTCTCTGGCATTTTAAATTTGAATGGCGGGAAATTTTTCCAATAGAAGAGGAGGAGGATCCAGATCTTAAATCTATGAAAACCATAGAAGGAACTTCCTTCCTTGAAGATCTTGCACCAATTCCTGTAAGTAATAAGTGCGTCTAAGAGACGGGTGAATTATGCACTTTGAAATTTTATCGATTTTTAGTGATGTTGAAATTATTTTTCTAGTTTATGGTGATGTTATGAAAGCACTAAAGTGCAGAAAAATAAGGAACACGAGGATGTATCTTGGTTCCCTTCACAGTCCGAAGATACGTCCAGTCTCCTTTCAACACGAAAGAGATTTCACTATTGTTAAGACGTGTACAAGACCAACCACAATCACAAGAACAATCCTCTTGTGAACCATTAAGTTGAAATGAGAACAATCCTCTTGTGAACCATTAAGTTGAAATGAGAACAATCCTCTCACTTTCAACCTCTTGCTTCTAACAATCTTGGACAAGATATTTACAATCAAATCTGGAAAAAATATAAAGTAAGAAAGTAGATGAATATGTATCAATTAATAAGATTGATCTTCCCTTCCAAACAAGCAATTTATATTGATAATATAGTGCTAAAGTGTTTGTGAATATGAGATGAATTTTTCTGGACTGATATGGAAACAAATGCAGAAAAATTCTTTATGAAAGTTCAAGAATAAAAAACACTTGTTTGAAATTTGAATGAATATAATGATGTTAAATTGCAATGGAAGAGGTGAGTTTTATATTTGAAAATGTAGAATATATATGACACCTTAACACCTCTATGAATGAGTGTGATTCAATGAAAAGAAGCAATGGTTAAGGGATGTGTTTTCCAAAATGTTCAAATTCAGAACAGACTGAAAATGCTACAGCCAACTCTGAAAATAAATTTCAGAATATGGGGTAATCGATTTCCTGTTAAACATTGCAACTTGAATTTTAAAAAAAATCGTGAAGGGAATCGATTTCCAGAATAGGGGAAATCGATTTCCATAACTGAAAAATGTTTTCTGGAAAAGGCTGGAAGGTTGATACACGCTCAAAAAATCGATTTCTCGTATAGGGGTAATCGATTTCTTGTACTAAAATTTTAAAAATATTTAGTTTTTCTGCCATAAGCAGTTTGTAATTTTGAACAAAAATGATCAATACATGCAAGTGAATTTTGGAGAATATTGAGCACTAAGTTTATAAATATAAATGCATGCTTGTACCTCTATTAAACATGATCCATGCTAGTCTTCAAAGTATAATTCTTGAGTAATTTGTTGCTAGCTTTCATACATAATGAATCTTGTACTTGAGGCTTTATAAAGTGTACTTGAAGTTTTTCCATACTTTCTTATATGAACATTTGACTTGCACTTTGTACATTGTCTTCATCAAAATATATTGGATGGAAAGTCTTGACTTCACATTCTCCCTTTTTTATGATGAAAATAATTAAAACTTTATGATCAATGTTCCCCTTAGGAAAGATTTCTCCCCCTTGATCCATGCATCCATGTATGAGAGTTGCTTTACAGTTCAAAGAATGCTGCATATTTTGTTAGAGAAGAAAATACCATAATAGCATAATAACTTTCCCCCTTTGTCATTAGCAAAAAGAATGAGAAAAGCTTCAAGATTGAAACATTAAGTATAATAAAAACAAAGTATAATCTATCACACAAAGCATAGAGAAACCATAGCATAATTATCAACCACAACATAAGACTTGAAAATATAACATAAAGTCTTAAACAACAAAATAAAACTACAAGGAAATAACATTGTCTTAGAGAGCATAAACATAAAATTAAACATAGACCAAATTTAAAGAAAGCATAAACAAATAAGTCATAAACATAACTTAGTCGCTTCCATCAATTCCTTTATTCTCCTCATTCCCCTCTTCCTCTTCTTATTCTTCATCCTCACTTTTTTTATGATAATTTTGTTGTTTTCGAAAGTTTAGGTCATCGCAAATAACACTAAGTTTGGACGAGTGATGAATGTCCATCTCATGCAATTTGTTGTAGAGGAACTCCATGGTGTATCCAACTTCGGGAGTGGGAGGAGGTGCATATACATTTTCCGTATCAGCATGCTTGAATATTCCATCAACATCTTTAAATATCCCCATATTCTTCTAACAATTGCTACTAGTGATTATGCTTGTCTTTCCCATTTTCTTAGAGGGTTTCCGATGCAAATTAATTCCACATTTTTCCAAAATCTTGGTAATTACTCTAGCATAAGGATAACCACTTGTCAATCCTTTGGAATATTCCATATGTTGGAGAATTACACAAGCCAAATTAACCTTCATATTGCTCTTTATGGCACAAAGAAGCATCATTTCCATATCATCAATTTTAGTATAATTGTCCCCCTTTGGAGAAAGCACATAAGCGAGAAAGTAATGAAGCATACGATCATTCTTAGAAATTTTTTTGCTAGATATAAAAAGCTTGGTAAAGGACGAATGAGCTTGTCGGGAATAGAATTCTTATTGAGTAATCCGACAAATGCTAAAGAAATATTGTGTTTTGTTATAAGTTTGCTAACCCGGAGAGTCGGGAGCGAAACCTCGAACAATTATTACACCTTCACAAGGAGTACCTAAGCAAGCACTAAATTCTACCAAAGACATAGCAATTGTATTACCTCTTACTTCTGAGCTAAGAGAATAACTCAGATGTATAATAAGGTGAGCATAAAAATCTCTAATCAAATCAGGATAATATAACCTCGAATCGGATACAAAATCCCCAACCCCTTAAGATTCTAGCAAGGCAGGAAAAGTGAAATTATTAGAAGAAAAAGTTTCAAGTTTACCGAATTAAGAAAGGAGTATATCCCTCTGTCTAAAGTTCTCCATTAATCTTCTTTGCTTCATAGTGGGCTGGTCTTGTTTAGAGTCAGAGTCAAAAGCATTTGAGCTTTCACCAATTTTTGATTTTCCCTTTGCATGTCTAGGAGGAACCATAGAAGGAGCTTTGGAGGAGTTAGGTTTCGAGAAAGAATTTTTTGTTTTTTCCTGAGTTAGAATAAGTGATTTTGAAAAATAGCTTATTTGTGTTTAGGTGTGAGAAAATTGATATATAATGGTTTTATGATAATGAGATTTAAAGTGGATTGTGTTGGTAAGTGGAGAGATTTGAGTGGGTAGTAAAGGATATGTGCCAATGAGTTTGAGTTCCAAGGAGAGTAGGTGAAAGGTGGAAGATGAGAGAGAGATGAAAGTTTGACTAAATTTAAAACAATTCAACAACTTAATTAAAAATTTGAAAAAATAAAACAGAAAATTCGTACAGGAAATCGATTTCCCATATAGGGGTAATCAATTTTCGCCACACAAAACACATATTCCAGAGGCCCAGGAAGTGAAAAAAAGTCTCAGGAAATCGATTTCTGCATAATGGGTAGTCGATTTCCGCATAATTTTTTTTGCCAAATACAAAAAAAATAGTGGCATTGTAACATGAAAATTAGCACACATATCTACATAGAAAGTCACATAACATATAGATAACATGTTTATGCATCATGTGATCATATATTTTCTTACAAAAACATAGTATGTCATAGTTTTATGGATGAAATTGAGGAAAATATTTGAAATTTTAAATAAATAAATACTTGAATCGTTTGCCATATGTCTTTTTCATCCAAAATTCCTAATTCTCTTTGGTTTTTGAAGAAAGGTTCTCGTGCTAAAGGTTTTTTGAATATATCTGCAAGTTGATTATGAGTATCTATGAATGTAACTTCGACATCTCTTTGAAGCACGTGATCACGAAGAAAATGGTATCGTATGTCAATATGTTTGGTTCTTGAATGCATGACCTGATTCTTTGTAATATTAATCACACTTGTGTTATCATAACATAAAGGGATGCATCCTAGATCGAGTTCGTAGTCACGGAATTGTTTCTTAAGCAAAGTATATATGCATAACAACTACCTGCTTCTATGTATTCCACTTTGACCGAGCTAAGAGAAACACATGCTTGTTTCTTGCAAGCCCAAGATACTAATGCATTTTCAAGAACGTCACATGTATCACTTGTGCTTTTTCTATAAGTTTTACATTTTGAATAATCCACGTCAGATTAACCAATTAAATTTCAAATACCACCATTAGGATACCATAAGCCGACATTCGTTGTTCCTTTGAGATACTCCATGATCCTTTTTACCACCATGAGATGAGATTCCTTTGGGTTTACTTGAAAGAGAACACAAAGACAAACACTAAACATATTGCCAGGACAACTTGTCGTCAAATATAATAATGAACCAAGCATACCTCGATATTTGGTAATATCAATCAAAACACCGAATTTATCTTGATGTACATAAGTACCAGATCCCATAGGAGTAGCCATTGTTTTTCAACTATCCATATCGAACTTTTTCAACAACTCTTTGCAATACTTGGATTGATTCTTGAAGATAACATCCTTTAATTGCTTATTTTGTAATCCAAGAAAATAGTTCATCTTACCCACCATAGACATTTCGAATTCTCCTTGCAACATCAATGAAATTCCTTCACATGGATCTTTCTTTGTTGAACCGAATATGATGTCGTAAATGTAGACATGAACAAATAAAGTATTACCTTTGATTTTCTTAATAAGTAAGGTTTTATCAACTTTACCCTTTTCAAATCCTCTTTCGCATAAAAAGTTGATAAATCTATCATACCATGCTCTTGATGCTCGTTTCAAGTCATAAAGAGCTTTCTTCAACTTAAAGACATGTGAGATATTATTGAAGTCTTCAAAATAGGGAGGTTGTTTAACATAGACTTCTTCATTGATATATCCATTCAAGAAAGCGCTCTTGACGTTCATTTGAAAAAGCTGAAAACTTAATGGACAAGCATAAGCAAGTAAAATATGAATAGCTTTTAACCTTGCAACTAGAGCGATTGTTTCTTCAAAGTCAATTCCTTCTTCTTGATTATAACCTCTGATACCACCGTTAAACTCTTGTCAGTTTTGGATCATTCGTCATCGTCCATTCCGAAACATGAGAAAATTCATTTTTCTTCTTACAAGTCATTTCCATAATATTCTAAAATCATAGATTTTGAATCTTCAATAACTTTCATGGGAGAGCCTCAAATCAACGACAAAGGGTTTTATTATGATGTCGATTTTGCGATTCAACCGAAACCTTCACATTCACTCTTCTTGAAGATTACAGTTAAATACCACGACGCAAGGAGAAACATCGATATACTATGTAAGTCTATCACCTATTTTTCAAAACCATTTTATTTAGAGAGTAATCTTCTCAATTTTATTAATTTCACTAGTTTCGTCAGACTTTATTAGTGATGCCAATAAAAATCCTCCACCACCACCAATTCCATCGGGCCAGTGTTGTTGCATCTTGGCGTATGAATCAGGGTTGTAAAAATGGTTTTTCTCACTTATGTGGAATTGTGGCGATGAAAACCTTGTAATTTTGTCAAGTATGTCAGTGTTGGCTTCCTTTCCGGTGTTGAAATGGCCACCTAACCAAGATATTTTCTTGCCATAGGTACCGTGCAGCACATGGTGTTATGGTATTTCTATTTTATATTGGAATCAAATAATGTTGAAGATGAATGGGAAATTTTTCTCCAAAAATATGAAGCCTTTGACAATCACTTCAATTTTACAAATTTTATATTCACAACAAGTTTTCTTGCTCCAAAAACCTGCACATAAATTGTTTGACAAATCGTCAACAAGATCAGGTTGCATAATCTCTGACTTGGGAATTCCTTGGTGTAACACGGTGGGAGAACTGACTTGGTGTTTTACGTTTGATCGCAATTGTTGTGGATAGAAAGAGTCACCATCGACTTTTCTTTTATCCAATAAGGAAAGGTTGAAAAGAACAAGAAAGACATTTCGAGATTATTTCTTGAGTTCGGGGGGTAGGTTATGAAAAGGGAAGGTGTTAGAACCCTTTCCATCCGTAGTTATCTACGAGATCTTAGTTGCTTGCTAGATCACTTGCTTTTGTTTGAAAATGTGCTTGTTGTGTAAGTTTTGAAAGTATTTTGAAAACGTCTTTGTAATGGCTCTCATTTCTATAAGAACGCGTACAAAGTGTTATTTTGAAAATGGTTCGAAGAGGTGTTTGTGGAATGTGTTTTTGAAAGTGATTTTGAAAAGGTGTCTTTGTAATGGTTCTCGTTTCTATAAGAACGCGTACAAAGTGTTTGTCTTTTGAAAATGTTTCAAAATGAAAATGTTGGTGTATAAAATGTTTTTGTTGTGAGCAAGCGAGCAACTAGGAGCATCCTACCTACTCAAAAGGTCTTAAATATTATTTTCCTCCTTCTTTAGATGTTTCTATCTTACCATTGATTTGGTAAGAAGCCCCATCGTTGGATGTGAAGGGACATGCACGGGTCAATCGTACAGTCATAGAAGCCAACTTGTGAGACACTTTAGCAATTCTCGTAAGAGACTAGATCGTTTTACAGAAGGCAACATTGAGGGACATCAAGGGACTACGATATTTTTTATCAAAGGGTCTTTGCTAAAGCGTCCCATATTCGAGAGACATGACTGTTTTTCCGAGGCAACAAGCGAGGTTACCCTAGAGGTATGCGTGTGAAAAGTGTGTTTGATTCAAGTTAATTTTGTCTTTGATTAGGGTTATCTAGCGATTGATTTTAAATCTTGCCATCCACGCTTAATTACTATACAGTATAAGGAAAACAGTAAATTGTGGAAATTAAAATTCTACGCTATTACCGAGCTTTCGGGAATGAGGGTACAAATTTACAAATAGGGATGGATCAATGTGATTAAAAGTCCAAATAGGCAATCAATACAACCAAATCGAATCGAATCAGTAATTAAAACTACAACAATCTATGAAATAAAAATTAATTAACAAAGTATGGAAATAAAATTCTTGGTATTTGTTTGAAAAGTTTGGAAGGAAAAAAAATAAAATTCTATTCTATTAATGAAAATAATTAACTAAAGAAATTAAATCATTTGTATATTTTTTGTCTTTTAGGATTTTTTTATTATGAAGAAATTAAACGAACAATTTAAGACTAAAGAAAAAGTTAATTAATAAAAAATTATTTACAAAAATCCCTAACTATATTAATTACGAAAGTAAACTAATTTTAAAGAAAATTAACTTAGAAAAAGTTCATAAATAAAATTGTTTACAAAGTTCTAAACTAATTAAGAAAATAAATTAACTTTGAAACTAAATTTTTTATTTAATTAAAATTAAAAGATACTAAAGATTAAATTAAATATAAACTAAAATTATTAAGATAATTCTAAACTAAATTTAAAATTCTAAATAATTAGATTAATTCTAAAATTAAGAACTACTAAATCAATTATAAGAGGAGGTATGAAACAAAAAACTCAAGGTGTCGTCATGATTTTTGTATGGGCTTTTGATTAAAAGCCCAAACACTTTTTTTGATGACTTTTGTCTAATAGTAAAAGAAGAAAATGACGAAAAGATTAAAAAAAACACAAAACGTCCCAGTGGGTCTCGAACCTGGGACATCAAGCTTTCAAACCCACGCGTTAACCACTGCTCCAACTGACTCATTCGTTTATTTATTTACTTCTACTAATA